AATACAAATAATATTCCAGCAAAAACATTCTAATATTTATTCAAATATTCTTAATCAAATAAATCATTAAGTTTATCACAAATTTCTCTTATTTCTTCTTCCACTACAAAATAGTTAATCCTAGTTAAGATAAAGATATTACTCTACTCTAAGTATATATAGTCTATCAGTCAATTATTTCAATAACAGAACAGAACAAAACAAAACACAAAATCATTTCAATCCATTAGGTAGGATTTAAATCGCATCCAAATAATTATCATATCTAAAACACACATATTATTACACAAATTATCATCTTACTAACTTGAAATACTCAATTAATTGTTAGATCAGTCCAAATCTCTGAAGTCTCTTCCATTTTCTTATTCTTGTTCCATTACAAAATAATTTTCATACATAAAATAAACATATTATTTCAAAAAGTACATTCTTACTCTATTTCACATATATATTCTACTAATCATGAGTTTTCCTCTTGCTTCTAAATCTGAATCTTAAACCTTAAATCAATCCGTATCTCTACAAGACCATTTTAACCCATTACATGTAATTTTAAGTCTCTTTTTTCAGTCTTATTCTGGCTTTCTTTTTGTGCCAAGCAGGTTTCCATAACAGAGCCTCTGTTTCAGCAATTAGGTCTCCCTTTATTCCTTGTGATGTCATTTGAGTCAATGGAAGACATCCCATCCTCTGTTTTAGGAGCCTGACTCCTTTGTAGTTAGATCCTTGTTGCTTTAGAAATTCAAGTCTCAATGTTTGGTTCAGCTGAGTAAAATGTTCAGTTGTATCCAATTTTATGATTAGTAGTTGGTTATCAAGGTTATCATTGTTCTCATTAAGTCGTGTTTGTACATCAATTCCTGTTATTTTTGGAGTTGTATGTAGTTTGATTAAGGTTACCTTTTGATCTTCAGAAATCTCAATAGGATGCTTATGAGGTAATATAGATTCCTTTTTAATATAGGTTAATTCCTCTTCTGATGTATTTTGGCCTGTAGGATAATCAGTTGAAGTCTGGAAGTCAGTTTTAGAATTTGTAGTAAGGTTTCTGATTCTTATTTCTGTAGTAATCTCTTTTATTTTAGTGCATACTTGTTTAGTGGTTTCATGAATTTTTTCCAATATAAGTTTACAGTTTAGTTGTGAATAGGGTTTCTCCATTTCAATAATAGTTAGAAGCAGTCCTTTTATCTTTTAGTGGAGGCTATATTTAATAAGGGTTAACCAATGTCCACCCCCACAGTTTCTAACAGCTGCATCAACTTCTTTATCTTTTCCCTTTTATAATAGTTTGAAGGTCAAGCCAACCTCCTCTCCAAACATAAGCAAGCAATTGCAGTATTAAAGGTCACCACAAGATATTCTCAGTGGATTACAGAATCTTTCCCAGACACCAATAAAATGAATTTTCCTTTTTTTTTTTTTTAGAAAAAAGCTCTATAAAAAGGTTTTTTTGGGACCCCAATTAAAAGTAAAATATAGCCATTAAAGTTAGTTATTCTGTCCTTTTATTCTTTTCTTCCCACGCAAACAAATACCGCTCTCTCAGGGCAGGGAAATAGTTCCAAGAGGGCTTTTTACAGGCAAAGAGAAAAATAGGGTGAAGAGAGGAAAAGGAAGGGTCTCACCCAGGTCATCCGCAGTGGTTCTTAATGCTTAGATGTTCTTGTGACTTTCGGCTGGTGCAGCTGCATGATCGGCCATCTTGCAGGACGATCTTTGCTCTGTCAGCCCTAAAGAGTCAGCTGGAGCTGCGAGAGAAGCTGCCGCCCTCCTGCAGTCACCAGAAAGTCTCCTCATTGGTGGTCACCCCTCCAGGGTGACTTTCAACCGCCTTCAGGGTCTACTGGTGAAGGAGAATCAGCTGGTGAAGAGACAAGTCTCTTTGCGTGACCACAGTCCCCGTGAACCGGAACCAGAAGTCTCAAATCACATCTTTTTGAAAGTTCACATGGAAGTTTATCCTGGCTGTCTCTATATGTGTAAAGTGAAGTGGCTCCCTGTGCATCCACACACAGGCACATGCAAGATAACTAGGAGTAGCTTTTGCAGTATCCATAAAAATTTGGCTGGCGTAAGAGGCTGCATCTTTCATATCTTTTTTTTTGATGGATGGGCAATTAAAGGATGGTTCCTTTAATTCGGTTAACATTTGGCATGTTTTTCCTCATATCCTGTGTTTCCTCATGTCCTTATTGCTCAGAGTTCTTCATTAGAATACAAATGGCCATAAAAGTGGAACTACAAGAATCTTTATTTGGCAATGCTATTAAAAGGGAGATACATGGATAAATAATTTTGACTTTTACAATCTCTGCTTCACTGTTTTTCTTCTTTGAAACCCATATGCTTAGCTAGATAAAGATAATCTTTGAATTACAACCATTCATTTAGTAACCATTCAGCAGCACTTGCTTATGTCCATTCCTTGCACTTATGACTGTTGAAACATCTTCATGGTCACATGATAAAAATTTGGGCACTTAGGAATCAGCATGTATTTATGATAGTTGCAGTGTCCTGGGTCAGGTGATTGCCATTTGTAACTTTCCAACTGGCTTCTGACAAAATCAAAAGGAGGAAAGTTGGATTCACTTAATAACCATGTAATAATAATAATAATAGTAAAGTTGGAAGGGACCTTGGAGGTCATCTAGTCCAACCCCCTGCTCGGGCAGGAAACCCTACACCATTTCGGACAAATGGCTGTCCAGTCTCTTCTTAAAAACTTCCAGTGTTGGAGCATTTACTGCTTCTGGAGGCAAGCTGTTCCACTGATTAATTGTTCTAACTGTCAGGAAGTTTCTCCTTAGTTCTAGGTTGCTTCTCTCCTTGATTAGTTTCCACCCGTTGCTTCTTGTCCTGCCTTCAGGTGCTTTGGAGAATTCACTTAACAAGTACAGTGATTGGCTTAACAACCAAGGATAAACAGGTCATAAAATTGGGTGCGATTCACTGGTTTCAATTGGGGACATAAGTCAAAGACTACCTGTACTATACGAGAACACATTCATTTTCAGTGAACTGATTATTTGTCTGCCTTTTAATTTGAAACAACTGTGGCAAATAATATGAAACAACTGTGGCAAAGTTCACACAGTGTTCCAGGGCATTCTTAATGTTTTCTAAAATTGTGTGGGTACATGGCTACATATAATACATTATACTAAACCTACCCAAATTGCACTTTGGATTTACTCAGTGTGTTGAACCTAACTTCTGTGTAGATGGATGGAATATCCTACAGAAGAATACTTTCCATGTGACAATATCTTCCATGAAAAATCTTGGAAGGTAAAGGAAGGCTTTTCAAGATAACTTACAATAGTTTCCTTGGTCTTTATAACTGCCATTTCTCAAAAATCTTAAATACTATACTAGTTTTGTGGCAGTTGTTCTCTTCTCTAAGATTGTTCACTTTATCCCCTGTGCTGGCTTCTCATATGCTTATGAAAAGATGACTGCTGTCTTTCATCTGTAATATCAGAGACATTATTTTATGATTTTGCATCAGGCATAAGTTTTTTTCAGTGGACTAGGTTCACTATGATATATCAATGGATGAACCTTTGAAAAATCAGATTATGTTTATATGTATATTGGTTTATGAACTAACCTTTGTTTTATCATCTGATTAATGTCTACTTATCAAACATTGCTGAGAAACAAAAAAAGCAGAACTGATCCTATTGACCAGCCTTTGCACTTTGTTTTTAGCAACCCTAGTCTTAGTGTTTACTTTCTTCAGAAAGTGATATTTGCGTAATAAATATATTATTGCACTATATGCTGTTCTGTAATAAAATGATTGCAAAATGCTCTGCTATGAAAATAGCATTGGCAGCCTGTCTTCCATAACAACATCCTGCTTTCAACAGTTACCATCTTGTACTACTGTATTTCACTTTTTCCGGTGTTTGTGTTTAATACAGAGCATTAATTTTTTTCCCAGTTTACTTCAACATCTTATTTTAGTTTCTTATCAAAAGATCTGAATGTATGTGTAATTTATAGAATTACATGCTCATGTGGAATCGTGCCATATTATTTGATTTATAGTCACTCATCTCACATAAACACTAGATACATAAAATACAAAAAAATAAAAATACATAATGTAAATATCCTCCTCTAGGAGACTTTATTTGGCAGTGCTATTAAAAAGAATAGGAGATACAACCTAGCATAGAAATCAAAGTTTTACAGCACAAAAAAGATAATGAATCTGCCTCTTTTTCGGTACCCAAACTATTTGCTAAGTTGCAAAAAATGTATCTCATGACTGGTCAAAAGTAATGAAACAATAAGACATTTCCAAGTTGTTCTCCACTATAGGAATTATTGCTGACACTGCAAATAAAGCATTTGACGTCACTGAAAGGAATTTAGTTTCGACAAATTTAATAAAAAGAAGTTCTGAAGAGTTAATGTGAGATTATTATATCTGGAGAATGCCAGGCATCATTGAATCAATAAAGCTAAAAATATTACAGTTATATGAAAAACTAGAATACATTATATTTTGCAGTAAAGTACTAAATGAGTTACTGTATTCCTAGAGATTAACATTAGACCTCAAGACATGGAAAGTGTGTACCTTTCAGGGCACTAAAATCATCTGGTAATAAAAAAAAATCAAGACATTAAGTTGTAAGTTTATTATTTTAAAAAAGCTATCAATCCAAAGGCTAAAACAACAGTGAAACAGAGTCCAAATATTATAAGATTTAGCATCTGAAATTCTGCAGAAAAAAGGTCCGCTTAAAACTTTGAATACCTTAGCAAATATGGGAGAATTTATCTCCTGATATTCCTCTTCAGATTAGAATTCAGTTTACATGGGAAGAAAAAAATTCAAATCCATAATTAAACAGATGAATCAAATGATTCAAAGAATAGAATAGAATAACTTTATTGTCACTTTGAATGTACACTAATCTGCATACATTAAAATGAAATTTTGTTGCATATAGCTTTCAAAGGGTCACCACCTGCAATAGACACTGCCTAAATATGACAAAAATAAATAAATATGGAATTATGCATATACCCACATATAAGACACAGAGAAACAATACAGTGTAGATCAGATTATGTATGCATGTGCATGGTGAGAAAAATGAATCTTGCCAGTTTACTAGACGGATGGCCTAGAGAACAAAGCTATTGCAGAATCTGGTAGTCCTGCTAGAAATACTTTGAAACCTCCTCCCAGAGGAAAGCAATAGAAACAGACCGTGAAGTGGGTGTGTGGGGTCTCTAACAATGCTTTGCGCTCTAAGCACATAGCGCTTATAAGCAGCATCCTGAACACCAGGAAGCGAGCTTCCTATGATCTTCTCGGCTCTTCTTACTGTTCTCTTTTGGACTTTCTATCTGAGGCACTGCTGCCACCAAAGCAGACAGTGATGCATTTGTTAAAATGCTCTCAGTCGTGCCTCTGTAAAAAGTGGCCAGGACAGAAGGAGAGAGAGATGATGAAATGAAGTATCTTGAACTGATCAATCAAGCTAAGTAGATCATGCCAAATCCCATCCAAAGAGGCACTGAGAGGAGGAAGAGCAGAGACAAAAAGAAAGGGGAAGATCTACTATCAGCTCTGGAGTGGAAGAAGAAAAGAAATCCAAAAGGGGAATAATAAGTGATAATAATGTTGAAAGGAATAATATACATATAGATGCTGATTTCTACATAGTGTTTAATGATTAAAAACTAAGTAAACAGACAAGAACTTTGAAAAGGAAGTTCTTCTTTTCTTTTTCTTTTTAGTTTTTAGGTAATTCATTGCAATTTTATGTTATACCTTGAAATTAGAGGAGAGCAGCAGAGGTCTATAGTTACATACTCCCCAAAACAGGTTTATCTGTGTGACAATTGTATTGTCCCTTCTGGAGGTGACAACTCCTATTAATTTTTCTTCACATCAATCACTATATTATTATTAAAATAGTGTATTTTGCAGACCACTACGTAAGAAAGCCATTTTAACATGTTCTTGTTTGAGGATAGCACAAAAGTAATCTATTTTTAGATTCCATATTCTAACTGCCAAACATGCAACCAGCGTTTGTTCACCTTTATCTCTGCAAAAGCTTTGTAAGGCTTGAGGTTGGGGAGGAGCAAACTGCAGTCAGATGGTCATTTCAAAAACATAAAATAGTCTCTTGTTCTTAAGCAAGCAAGGACTACCCCAAATATCTATTAATTCAGAAAGATGGGAAGAATAAATGTGAAGTTTAAAGACTTGAGTATATCAACATCATTTACATCTTTGCATTTTCAGGAGGAAATAAGCCATTATATGTGGCTTCATTCTTTTCTTCAATGAAGATTCTGCTTTAACTGATCCATGTCTGAGTTTTCAGTTAAGACAAGCCAAGACAGGATGCCAAACTAAGCAGGAAATGTCATGAAATGTAAATCTAAGCCCAGGTTGGGAAGCCTGAAATGATCACAGTTTATATTCAGATAGTATTGTACAAGGATGCCTGGGAATCAAATTGCACTTCAGACAATGTCCTAATGCAGCATCCTTTGCAATATTAAATACAATGCAGAAACGTTATACGTATCTTAATTGTGGTATCTCATACATATCTCCACTGCTCTTTAAAATATCAGCAAGATTGTCTGGATTTCAGATTGGGAACTTCTATTACAGTAATTAGAAAATTTTGTAATTAGTAATTTTGTTTGAAGAAAATGTCCAGCCATCACTGTTAACCTGAGAGAGGAGAGAGAGTAGAAGGAATAGGAAAGGAAGGGCCAGCGGGAAGGAGAAGCAGCAAGCTGGCTTTACAGACTGAAAGGCAGAATTGGTAGAAGTGTTCAGTAAAGGAAGAGTAGGCATTCCTGTTAATATTACATAGTGAAACCAGGAAGTAAATTCATGGCTCCTAAAGGGCAACCATTGTAATTTCTTTATTGCCTGGTTTCAAAGTCCTGAGAAAAGGTAATATTTTACATGCACACTTGTAGGAAAAGAGAAAAACAGAAAGAAAATTGAAAGAAGGAAAAGGATGAGTGAAGAAATAGTTGGGTAACCTGTTTCTGACATTGTAAATTTTATTTATTTAGTAAATTTATCCGCTGCCCATTTTATACACACGGCACAAATTAAGGATGAACATTTTTCAGTCTCTATGTATTTGACTGATAGAGTGACCAATTGTGTCCAGATTCTTGGCAGCTTACACTGTAAAGAAAATTAAAATAGCCACGGTTAAAGAAACACCAAACAATACTGGGATACAGATGTTCCTGGTGTCAGAGAACATTTCTATGGAGTAAAGCAGCTGGTGCAGCATATTCAGATGGCTCTCTCCAGATGTTACAGGGAGGAGCATCTCTAAAATACATTAAATATTCCACAGTTACAGAAATTACTTTTACATATATTTCTTTTATCCAAAGATAGAATATCTTCTTTTGGAATGTTCCAAACTTAGCTTATGGAAATGTGTACTGAGATGAACAATAAGCTGTTACTGATCTGTAGGATATCACAAGATATTTAATTCATCACCATTACTGTATCTTTGAATTTGAACTAATGGCTGAAATGTTTAAACTGATCTTCTGAAGGTCCAACGTATAACAAAGATATCCAGCCACACCAGATGAAACTGAAAGTATTCTAAAATAACTGTAGGTTATTTAATTTCAGTCAGGAGCAGGATTAGCTCCCTCTGGATAAACAAGAACTTTGAGTCAATAAGAGAGCGAGAATAGACATGATGAACTTTTACACTTTTAAAAAACTAAACAGTGGCAACAAGAAATTACAAGGCGTGCTGCCAGCTATAATGGATACTGGGGACGGGCTGAGATGACTGCTCCCTATTTCATTTGGCTGGTTCCTATATTAATGACATACTTTTAACAGAAGCAATGACAGGAGTAGACCACAAGCACAGAGGAAAACATCTTTACTATTAAGCTTCTTCTATTATCTGACCTGATCTCAACTGAGGTTATTCAGACACGTGACTCCCACAGGGCTAAACAAGTATAATTGTTGCAGTCTTAGAATGAAGTGACTGAAATTAGTGGATTACCTCTGGAAATATCATCACAAATAAAGTCATCCTCTTCAGCTTAAATCCACCATTGCTACTTCCTGCCTTTTCCATGGGCTTACCAGGAACTTCTGGGGTATCTAGAGAGGTGGCTACTAAATACAATGTTTCACAGCAGTGGAAGGTCTTCTTTAGAACATTTTGTTGGAAGACCTGGCATGGTCCAGCAATTGTTAAAGAACTACTGAATTGCTTGAAATTCCTGAAGGAAATGAGAGGCTCCTGTGATGGCTAAAGACCAGAAGATTACTAGAAAAAAAGAAAAGATGGTATTCATAAATAACCTTAAAACATAAATTTTAACCATATTTTTAAAAGACACTTGGCAAGCATAAAAGAAATAGCCAGTCATCTTTCTGAAAGTCAACACTTCCAACAAAAGTATAGTTCATAGTTATCATTTATCTCTCTAGTTGTGGACAATAGGCTAAGGCAGGGGTAGGCAACCTTGGCTCTTTTATGACTCGTGGACTTCAACTCCAATTGAAGTCCACGAGTCATAAAAGAGCCAAGGTTGCCTACCCCTGAGCTAAGGATAGTAGCTTTCCAGTAATTGAAATAATCTGAACCCCAAGATGCAGATCAGGTCAAGAAATCAACACATTAAGGCTACAACTACAGTAATTTTATTCAAACTGGCTATAATAATACATACATCTTGCAAATGTGATTATGCTTTATCTCCTTCCTTTCTTATACCTATTTTGAACTATGGAAGTGTCTCTCAGAAACTTTTTCAGTGTACATACTTCTTCATTCTTTTGGCTGAAGCAATGTTTCCCTTTTTATTGCTTTTGTAATAGCTCTTCCCTCACCCTGTCTAGGCCAACCTTTTTACTACCTACAAATAGAGCCTGCCAAAATTATACCATGAACTGTGGGCTTTTGTCACAAATCAGGTGGTCGAGCAATCTGTTACTTCAAACGACTTATTGAATTAACAGATGGCTTGTTTAAAGTGCATATGAGAAGCCAAAGCAAGGGATAAAGAACTGTCACCAAAATAGTATAGTATTTAATATTTTTGATAAATGGTAGTTATAAAGATAAAGGAAACTATTTGAAGGCCCTTGCAGGTCGAAAGTTGTGAGGTTTGTGATAGACAAATAGCATTATGCCATGCAATTCTTAATTTTTGCTCAGGCAACCAAAAATGAATCAGAAAAAATATGGTTTATTTTAAACAACTTGAAATGAAATTCATTGGTGAGAAAAGTAAAGTTTTAAATTTAGACAACAAAGATCAAATGTACAGGTATGGAATAAGTGGAACCTGGCTGAATAGCAGTAACTATGAGAGGGATCTTTGAGTCCTAATGGACAATCACTTAAATATGAGCTAGCAATGTGCTGCAGCCACCAAAAAAGACAAATAGAAGGATAGAATCAAGATTACATGAAGTGTTAGTACCACTTTACAATGCCTTGGTAAGACCATGCTCGGAATAATGCATCCACTTTTGGTTGCCACAATGTAAAAAAGATGTTGAGACTCTGGAAAGAATACAGAGAAAGATAATTAGGGGGTTGGAGGCTAAAACATATGAAGAATGTTGCAGAAAGTGGGTATGTCTAATCTAGTGAAAAGAAGGACTGAGGTGACATGAAAGCAGTGTTCTAATATTTGAGGGATTAAACAAAAAAGAGGGGGTCAATCCAGTTTTCTCTCAAGCACCTGAAGGCAGGTTAAGAAGCAATGGATGGAAACTAATCAAGGAGAGAAGCAACCTAGAAATTTAAGAGAAATTTCCTGACAGTGAGAATAATTAACCAGTGTAACAACTTGCCTTCAGAAGTTGTGGGTGCTCCATCACTGGAGGTTTTTAAGAAGAGATTGGACAGCCATTTGTCTGAAATGATATAGGCTTGAACAGGGGATTGGATTAGAACACCTCCAAGGTCTCTTCCAACTCTGATATTCTGTTAAATGATGCTTGTTATTATTTTCCTCTCTCGACAAAGGAAAAATCCTGTATATAACTGGCTGTTCTATTATAATCCCAAGAAAAAAGGGGGCAGTGGCAAAAGGACGACCTCTTACAGATCATCCAATCTAACCTGCATAACAATGTTTCTCTAGAATATCATATTTAAGTAATTGATTTGTTAGATTAATCTGTTGAAAGTCCTGTGGTTTTCAATTAAATTAGGTATCAGATTGTAAATATTTGCTAAAATTTAATTGTAATAAAACAATTCAATTTCAAAAAGCAATCCACTGAGTTCAGTGATCAAGTATTGGTTTCAAATCATTAAATATTTTTAAAATTACAAACTGTTGAGACTCTGGAATGAGTGCAGAGAAGAGCAACAAAGAGCAACATAGCAGTTTCTAAATTATGGTTAATTAGGTTCAGGGCTTTTCTTGTCATAGAACGCCCAGAATGGAGTTCCGGCACCTTTTTTGGATGAAACCTTGTAGGATAGGCAAGGCGGGTTGTATGACGTGTGAGTTCCGGCACTTTTTTTTTAACAAAAAAAGCACTGATTAGGTTAATTAGCACAGTCATATCTCAGTGGCAAAAATCTGGAAAACTCTAAGAAGATTAAAAAAGGTTATTCTTAAAATAATCTTTATTTTTGCAGCCCATATCTGATAGCCATAATATTTTCTATAATATAACCCATATCAGAAAACAAACTAAAAGATGCTAGAATCGTTCCAGGCACTACTGCTGTTGGGAAACAAAAATAGTTCACCAAAATCAAGAACTGGTTTATAGTGGATTAGTGATTGTGATTTATTTTAGAAGAAATTAAATAGAAAATTATGACTGCTGGCCCACCCATTTTTGGATCTATTGGTAGAGACCCTCAATAGATTCTCCCAAAGGGAATTTAATCATGGATAAAAAATAATTCTACAGATTTGTTTTTATAACATTAATCAAAGGCAAAAGACTTTGCTTAGTCCTTGACTTCCTACTTTGAGGAAGCATTCATTTGCAAATCTGCCTTCTCAGTAGGTTTATTTCTCCATGGAAAAAAGAGGCTGAAAGAATCTCAGATGAAGAGGAATCCAAATCCCTGTCAAAATTATTTTGTGAAAGCTGAATGGATTTTGGAAATGTATTCCTTACTAGGGACACTCAAAAAACAGAAATGATAGAAGAAAGGTTACAAATAATTATGCAAAATTTGCATTAAACATGTTGCAATATTTATAAAAATATCAGCCTGCAAATGCCAACAATCAAATAAATATACAGCATTTACAGAAGGCAATGGATACACAGATATATAAAACATTGTCTTCTGTAAATTAGTTTTCATATTTACAAACTCTCTCTAATACACACATATCACATATTATTTAGGATATACAAGAGAAAATTGCCTATTTTTTAAAAAAACAATAAAATGAAACATTTAATATGAGTTAGTTTCTACCATTAATAAAAATAAAACATAGAATAAGTATTTGCTAAATTCCCTTGCATACAGAATGATATAATAATGTATCTATTTTATTCTTTTACCTTTTTCTTAGATCTTATTTTTTGAATCAGCTGATGGACAAGACAAACTAGCGAAGAAGTGGGGATTTAAAGCATCTGATATACAAGAGCTCAGTAATAAGTATGCATTTTTGTTCTTTATTACATTCTCAACAAATTATTTGTCTGGCTTTTTTTTCAAGAACAAACTGTGGCTTATAAATCCAGTTGGCTAAAAAGCAGAACAATCAGTAGCACCAGTATGGATATAATAACAAAGAAGCTAGGGACAAAACCAGATAGGAATGATGAAATAGTATGCACCACTATAATTGTTTTTATTGAATTAGAAGAGGGTCATTATGCAAGAATTACTTTGTAAGATGATTTCTGTTGATTCTTATTTGTTCTTGTCCTTTTTTTACTTAGCTAACTAAAAAAAAATCTGTTCCTGTATCTTCCTTTCTTTTCCTCTGCCATGAGATATTCCAAGTTTTTAATTTTTATGGCTTTTTAACTTAACAAGAGTTGTACAGGCTTCAAAACTATTTCAGAAGTGTTTTGGACATTGTGTGGCCTTGAAAAAAAGTCACACAACTCATTAAAGCAGCCACATCTTTCTTTAAACTTCAACCTGTAACTATATTTATAAGCATCAGAGGGATACTGTGCTGACGGGATGTCTGAAACACTTCTGAATAATTTGCAAACTGTGTGCAACTCTATTACTTATCAGTTGTATCATTTGATTGTCTATTTAAAATATTTGTGTAATGCATTGCACAAAGAAATAAATATTTTTCAGGCAGCTGGTTCAATATTATGTAAGTTAGGGAATTATTCTGTAATGGGCATGGTCTGTATGCCTGTATGGATTATGAAGTCTTGATATTGTAATTGCCACAATTTTACTGCACAAGAAATTATAATTTGAAATACTTTCTATTTATCTATGATGTCAAGGGTTCCTTTGAAGAAAAATGTTATTATCTGAACCTGACTTGATGTTTGAACCAGAAATTATTCCTATCTTTCATTCCTTCTCTGGAATTTATATTAAAATGTCTTGTCTATTTTTGTGGGCAGAGAATGCCAGGATGTTTAACATCTATGGCAATCAATCAACAGTTATTTTTACTACTCACTCACGTTAAGTCAATGAGATTTTCCAGTTTACTTCTCAGTTTACTTCCCAGGTATAATGTCCGTATTGACAATTTCTTCAGGTGCCTTAATGCACAATATAGTTGCTTCTATCAACAGACTCAGCAGAATGTAATTTGCCAGTAGAAAGGCAGATTTTAGGAAAATCCTAGACCAGCATTTCTCAATCTCGGCAACTTTAAAATGGATGAACAGCAGTCAGAGAAATTATGGGAACTGAAATCCTCCCATCTTAAAGTTACCAAGGTTAAAAAACTCTGCTGCTGGCCTAGACCATTACTGCAGAATTCAAGAGTGCTCAAACTAGTACATAATAACTCTGAACATAATTGCAATAAATTCTTAAATACTGTGCAAGTCACCAGCTTTGATTGAAGCAGTTTATTTTGGGCATAATCCATGTAGCAGCTATGACAGTTTATTTATGTTTACAGTGACTTTCACTTCATTAGCACTGAGCAGCTTTTTAAAATAAACACCTTGGTCCTGCCCTGTAGCAAAACATGAGTAAAAAACAAAGACAGTGAAGTTACACAAGAAACACTGTGTGTCCTTCAGTAAATTTTGGATGGGGGGACTTCTGGATAAAGTTTCTTAACAATTATTTATAAAAGCCACTAGCAGATAAATCATGTAAAATTATAATAT